GATCACTTCATATTGCTGAGACTTAACCCCGTGCACCACCAGGGAGGGCCCAGAAGTGTGATCTGTATCATGAACAGATCACACCACCTGCAGTTGGAGGGTGGTGCCCGGGTGCACAAATTTGAAGCCTGCAGGGTTTCCCCAGCCCATAGACCTGTTCTGTGGGCTTGCACAACCTTTTTCAAAATGAATCATTTGCAGTGCAAATTATAATAAATTATTATATAATTATAATAAAAAATCAATCTTTTCCAAATATTTTGATCAGGAAATTTTCCATGCAAATACATATTATAAGGTTTTGAAAGATTGGACAGCATGGCAATCTAATCTATTTCATGACTCCAGCTTAGCCTAACCATGCTTCCCACAGGTGAGCCAAGGACCCTCACTCTACTCCACCCCACAGTTGTCATTAGCATATGGTACAGCATGTAATGTGTGAGTCATATGTATTAGTAATAATAAAACACCTGGGAGAGTTGTCCCTGAATTTTGTTTTTCGGTCCCCCCCAACCCCCCAATGACAATATCTGTTTTGTCCTGCCCCTTAGTCTGTGATTGCAGTGGAAAGTCCAAGCAATGCATCTTTGATTGGGAACTTCACAGTCAGACAGGAAATGGATTCCGCTGCCTCAACTGCATCGACAACACCGAGGGTGTCCGCTGTGAGAGGTGCAAGGAGGGTTTCTACCGGCAGGGAGCGACAGACCGCTGCTTACCCTGCAACTGTAACGCCAAAGGTATTGGGGTTGGGAGGAAATGGAAAGGGAGAGGATGGGGAAGGAGGGAGAAGCAAGCAGGACGAGAGGTGCTGTTCGACTTCTAGAAGGATGGGGAATCTACTACATGTGGGTCCATTGTAACAATTTCAGTCTGAAAGCGAACATGTTCTCCTCAAGCCTGGGTAATGGGAGCCAGCTGGGGTCAGGGGCAGGCTGGTTAGCGTCCATACCAGGAGGCCTCGCACGGCTACTCTTTCCAAACCATGACAGTCTTCACATCCATAGCAACTCTCCCGCCAACCTCTCAAAAATTC